CACTCGTTATTTCTCTGTCAGCTCAGCGGATCGTCGCATCCGTGAAGAACACCTCCGGTGAGATGCCACCATCGCCGACCAGCTGGCCGACAAGTAAGAGACATTCGCTGGAGTCTGTTGTTACATAAGGCGTTCACACAAGGTGACTTTTGTTCGCGGGTGGCCGCCCGCAGGGTGCTCGGCTCGCGGCCGTCTCGCGTGAGACCTCTGGCCACTGCCCACTGGACGGGCAGCCGGGCCCAGCGGCTCGGCCCCCGCGGCGCTCACTCGCGTGCTGTGCCCCAGACGCGGCTGCCCGACGGATCCCGTTCAGTCCTCAGGTAATCTAACCCGAACCACGCGAGCTGCACTGGAGTTCCTGGTGCCATTCAGTCACGAGCCTGCCACACAACTTTCTGCCGTCGCACAACACTTGAGCTAAGTGTACGGCCAACAAACTGAGTTCATCTCAAACAATCCCAGACTGCAACGTTTGACGGGTCAAAGTTTCGAGCACGTCGAGCACGTAAAGCAAGGGGCTGCATCCCGATTTCCGATAACTAAAGTATGCTCGAAAGCGTCACAACCGCGCACAATTCAGACCGCAAACCCATCCGTTGTGATGCTGTCATTGGTCTCATTTGTGACGTAACAACCGCACCGTATGTTTCACGTCCCGGCTGCTACGACAATTCACATTTTTGAGCCGGTGGCGTTAAAACCTTAAAGATATGACCCACACCGTGTAAGAGCGTACAACTTGATGAGACTTCCGTCCTCGCCTGGTGCATTAGTGTGTGTACACTAGAAGTGCGCCGTGCTTTGTCGCTATTAATATACGTAGTTAATATGTGCGTGCGTGCGTGCAAGCGTGGGTGCGTGTGTAGGCGTGTGTACCTGCATACATATATGTATACATGTATACATATATAAACTAACTACGATTTACAAAATACATAACTTATTGTCATAACGAGTGCATAAATACCAACACGCGACGAGCCCCAGGTGTGTTCGTAATTACCACGCTAACACATGAAACCAGCACGACCGTCCGAATAATGCCTCCATATTACTCCGTAACACTGAGACGGTACAATAAGGCGAGACATCGGGTGATTATACCGCAACGCCATGTGGTTTCGTACCACCATTTGTACCCAATTTGTATCCAAGTTGTACCCAAGCGGCGCCAGGCAAGCCAAAGGCAGTGCACGCATGCTATTGGTCTGGATGCGCTTGTGCCTGCTGCCGACACACGCCTTCTAAATGTCAAAATTATCGGTAAGTGGGGGAAAGAGTATATTCAACGGTTCATTCGATGGTCCAAACGTAAAAACGTTTATGGAGACTCCAAGTGAGACATCACAGAGAACACCAGCGAGAACGCCACACAGCGCCACAAAACGCAAGAGGGTGCCAGCGAGAATGTCAGCGAGTATGCCAGTGAGAACGCCAGAATGCCAGAGAACAGCAACGAACAATGCGGCGGGCTGGACAGATCGCAAGCCGTTCGGAACAACCGACAACCAGAAGCTCGCGGGTAGCACCCGAGATGGTGAGCGAGACGCCCAAAACGACTAGGCGGATGGCGACACCAAACTAGCCGCGCGGGTGGGACAATGGACGCCACCCGCTGAACAGGGGAACACACAGATTAGGCAGATTACCCGACAAGAACCGCACGAGAGGTGCTGACCGGACAGAATGCGCGCGAAACACATCCAGGGGATGGGCCAGGCATCGGACGTACTGGCTAGGGCAGGACAAAGCAGGCACGGACCGTACGGATATGGCAGAGCTGGTCAGGTATGCGGCGATCGGACAGATCACACACGGCAGGAAAGAGCGAGCTAGGTATGCGGCGAACAGACAGATCACACACGGACAGGACGGAGCAAGTCAGGTATGCAGCGACCAGACAGACCAGACAGGGAGCAGAGACTGGCCCAGGGGGACATACACGCCCTGACGGGAGGAGACACAGGTGACCTGACGGGTCAAACGAGGGGCGGGACAGGTCGGTCACACCACGCACGGGACGAGTCTGATCGGGTCGCGCAGAGACTGGGCTAGGGCGGGAGGGGTAACCGCGGCTTGATCAGACGTCTCCACTGGGGAATTCTCTCCAGTGAGGAAAACGAAAGCTTAGGGGGAATTGCCACGAGTCCAAACCATGCCTGACTCAAGAAAGATGGCCATGCGGCCAGCACCAGCCAGCACACAGTGAGCAGATGGTTATGTTGCCACATGAACCACCACGCATCACATACAACAAGCAAACACTTATGCTGTGGTAGCCAAAAACTGGGCTCAATGGGCATGCACACGGCAGACATGAGCAGGATAGCGGAGTCCAGCTCTGTAATCAGTTTGTGTTGTCCCAATATCATCGCTGCGTGGAACACTTCTCTGGAGCTATGATTAACTTCGTTAAAAGCGCCCCGGCTACTGGGGCCATTTCGCGCTGTAATTGTACGCCAACGACTCAATGCCACTGGACAAAAAGCAAAGTAATCACGACTAAGAGACCAACGCTGGCCAGAAGGCCAGAACGCGGTGACAGCCTTACCTGTTAGCCCATATTCTCAACTATCGATCGCTCATATGATCCTGTTCACAATCATGAGCACGAACACGTACGCCGTACGTTAACTGAGTTTAGTTGTTTGTTCGGGGGGGACCAAAGCGCAATCCATCATCACCGGGAAATGGGCCTAACCTGGACCTGGACTTTGACCTGGACCTGGACTTTGACCTGGACCTGGACCCGGACCTGGACCTGGTCTTGATCCTGGACCTGGGCCTAGTTGGGTGGCGGAGCTGATATCCACAATCGTCTCTTGCAACAGTAGCAATAGGCATATCGACCAGATCTGACAGGCAGTACCAGCTATTTCAAATTTCCAGGACAAACAATTGGTTTTGGAAGTGTGCCTTAACACCACTCAGCTGCACAGTACATTCTGCTGCACATCCTGCCGTAGTATCTATTATCAGGTATCGTCCCTGAGCGTGCCATAGTATATGTACTCAAGTACAGGCGTATATGTGTATGCCTGGGAATACAGCTAACAAAAATCAAGCGTGCACGATGTGATGGTCAATGTCTAATTGTTTACCAAGGTGCGTACCTTTTGTTTGATGAAGATGAAGCCTATCGGCACAAATATATTTTGGAAATCTGCCTGCTGAAACTACAGCAGATATTATCTTGCCGGAACTTTGCGCGAATAGTATTACGAACACCACACAAATAACTTGACACCATCGACGGAGCGGCAAATATACATGCAGATACGCGAAGGATCATGTCGTAAGCTTTTCTTGCACGCAATGTGTCAGGAATAAGGGCTGTAAACAAAGCTGATTCTCATCATATAAATATGAAAATGAATCCGTGCGCAACGCATGCATATATTACTATACGCATAATTAAGACATGCATGTAAGACTACTGATACATGGCAAGCTACCTTACGTCCTAACTTTGTTAGGACATCATGGACGGCAAGGATGTTCCTTACAAGCGTAATACGGCCCAACAATGGCCGAGACAAGCCATGCTAGGGCCAGGGCCTAACCGCTCAACTCGTCCCGAGTCTACATGTGAAGGTTCATATTTTAGGACATATTAACTCGTCACAGATTTGCGCTTCTTCAAACATAGTGTTCATGAGTAGCAACAGCGCCCTACAACAGCAAACTAAAATCTTTCATTAACGATAAAGTAAAATGTAACCACGTAACTGTGTGACTACGTGACCATGACTACGTGACCGCGCGACTGTGTGACTACGTGACTACGTGACTGTGTGACTACGTGACTGTGACTATGTGACTGCGCGACTGTGACTATGTGACTGCGAGACTGTGACAACGTCACTACGTGATTACGTGACTGTGCGACTACGTGACTATAACTGCATGACTGCGCGAATGTGACAACGTCACTATGCGACTTCGTGACTTCGAGTCAGTGTGAAAGGACAATGGTAGGCATATGTGGCATACGGTTTTACAAGCTGCGTGTGTTTGCCACCTGAGCCACCACACACAGATAGGTTTGAATCTCGTAACATGCAATGACGCTGGAAATATTAGAACATTAATTGCCTCGCCGTATTCATCACTCCTTGCCAGTAACACATAAGCCTACTGAAACCCAACGGGCTCTATGCATGTTAACTGGATTCTGTAACACATATTTACCAGGAAGGCGCATTGCCAAGAACTAAGTGCATTCAAGATAAGACAAAACATGATTGATTACTTTCCATTTAATTTTCTGATCTCTTTTCCCTATGCTTCCAGCTTGCCACTATCAATTTCATGGGTCATGAGCAGCCATAATGTAATAAGATGTGTGAGCACATGTTTATTGTCAGTCATTTGTAGCCAGGTGCTCGCTCAATGACGACCTTACTGGATATTAGCCCGTTTGTACCCAGCCTTTTGCGAACAGGACGAGGAAGAGCGAGCAGGCTCCAGCAAGGCGGATCATTAGAATTGCCACTTCTGTAGAAAATACGCGGGCAAGAGCCACGCCCTAGCAACATATTTAGTTTGCATCTTTGGCGATGTGCGGCCAACGAGAAATCGATCACGAGCCGAGAACACGTCTGCTTGAAGCAGAGCGGTCCGCTCGGTGCTTTCGGTTCCGGGTTCGGCGGAAGCCAAGCCAGTCCGAGGATCAGACGTCGAACGCATCTAGCCATCCGTGGTCAATGACGGGATAATGGGCTCCTCGGCACTGCTGACGACAGACGCCGGGAGGACGGGGGTCATCCGAAGCACATCCTCATGCCGGGTACTGCAAATTTGGCATGATACATCCCGACGTCATAAACATTGCCATTTGACGTTCCGAAAATAAATAATTAAGGTGGGGTATCTATACATTAAAGCCGAGACCATAGTGTATAAATATATATATATATATATATATATATATATATATATATAATATATATATATAGCCGAGAGACAGACCAAGTAAGTGAGGGAAGTGGAACACTCACAAAGATGATCATGATGAAGCAGGCGGCGAAGAAGGAGGTGGACGTAGGCCAATCGCTGACGAAGCGGTAGTGTTCGCCGGTCACCACGTTCCTGCAAGCCAACAGACCACAGTCAGCCAAAGTCCCGACCACGCAAAACGCCCAGTGTTGGACGTGTAACGTGTCAAGGCACAGCCTGGGGAGGGGGGGGGGGGGGGGGGAGGGACGGAAAGGGCAGCTGCAGTGGTCCATAATGGCACTCTCTCCTTTAGCATACAGTTCACACTCCACCGTTCAACGTCCCAGGACCTGGGTCCCAAAACAGCCTGGTTGGGGGCAGGATCCATTGCGTACGGCACCATTATGGAAATGGCAGGGGAATGTAGCCAAGGACGGAGGGAGAGGGGGCGGACGGGAGAAGGGAGACACCACACACACACACACACACACACACACACACACACACACACACACACACACACACACACACACACACACACACACACACACACACACACACACACCACACACACACACACACACACACACACACACACACACACACACACACACACACACACACACACACACACACACACACACACACACACACACACACACCACACACACACACACACACACACACACACACACACACACACACACACACACACACACACACACACACACACACACACCACACACACACACACACACACACACACACACACACACACACACACACACACACACACACACACACACACACACACACACACACACAACACACACACACACACACACACACACACACACACACACACACACACACACACACACACCACACACACACCACACACACACACACACACACACACACACACACACACACACACACACACACACACACACACACACACACACACCACACACACACACACACACACACACACACACACACACACACACACACACACACACACACACACACACACACACACACACACACACACACACACACACACATATATATATATATATATATAAGTTCCTGGGTTCCCACTTCCTGTGTACATTTGTGTACATTCCACCGCCTCGAAGCCGCCTTCTGTGGACTAGCGGCTCGGGGTGGTCTCTGTTTCTCTGCAGCGACTCGCGCCTGCGCCGCGCGCGGTGTTGAGCCCGCGGCGGCCGCGTCACCGCTGGCAATGTCTGCACGCCTCCTGCCACCGGATCGCTTTCTTCCGCTATGAACTGGTTTTAGCTAGATTTTTTTAGACGGTTTCGTTGCAACGTTGTTCAGATAAAAATCGAGTTAACTTGGAGGAGCAGAAAGCCGATATACCTCACATCGAAACAATGACCAAACATGTTCTCTTATGTCTTGCAGTGACCTCGATCCGCACTGCCTGGATACGGTGATGCCCGTCCCCTTCCGGATCCTGCTGAAATTGTTGTCTTCACCATAGTATTATGCGTTGCAGTTCGATGGAGACAACAATCTATGTGAGGAGCTCGACACGTCCTGAAATTTGATTTTTTCGTGCACCAGATACACATAGTAAACGATGTTTAACACAAAGCTGCTAGCACTCGAATACGATGAACAAATGAGCATTCCATAATAATGCAAGCTGATACTCAGGTGAAAAACTCGTCCCTCAAAACATGCAAAAGTTTTGGTCAACTGAAAAACCAGCTAGTTTGAGAAAGTCCAGTTTCTCTTCGACCACCCCGTGGGCCAGTTCAACGCTTTATCTGCATATTGGTGCGAGACGTTAGCAACGCCGCTTCCATCAGCGCCAGCATGCGTGGGAGGCCTCGTTGGAGGTGTCATCGTCACTCTCTGGACCCAACTTGAGGAACAGACAAGACCTGAGGCGCACCGTGGTGCCAACCAGACGAACTTACAGTGCAGCGCTCAGGCCACACAGCGCTGGAACCCACGTACGCAGCCCCAACCACCGGCCAGTCAGTCGAGCCTGTGCTCAAAATACAGCCAAGGATCAACGCCGTAGATCTCTACTCGCATTCCGCTGTTAACTGCCGGCAGGATGATTTCGTACTGCGCGCTTGATGTGCCAAGTATTGTCACAGCGACTGGCACACACTGCCATGCCCGATCTGGGCGGCGAGAGAGATACATCACCCGGCTGGAGGGAGCACAGTGTGCAGAATGGAACACAGAACGACCAACAGAGCACAACACGACCAGGCGCGCGGACCTGGCGCAAGACTCGTGCTTTCGTGTCCCCACTTCCGCATGGTTATGTCCTTTCCAGATCAGCGCGCCTTTCAAGCTATGAGCAAACTTGTAGCCAATTGTGGGTAGCCGAGTTCTGTCTGCCGCAGTCGGCAACACCCGGCGGCGCTCGTGACGCAATGCGGCGGTAGATACAGACACGTAGGTTGCAAGCGTCAGTGCTGGCCCCTCCTACAGCTGCAAGCTGCATATGACAACGCCTGGCCATATCAGATGGAGCTGGTCGCGATCCATGCGTGTGCTAGAAGCAGTAAGTTTACTGGGCCTCCGTCAAACGGTGCCGCCACGTCTGATCGCGTTCGCTCCGTCTGATAGCGCCTGCTCCGTCTGTGGCCGTCAGCTCCTTCCCACAGCGCCTGCTCCCCCTGACATTGCCGGCTCCGTCCGATAGTGTCTGCTCTGTCTGCGGCCTTGCGCTCGTTTGGCAGTGTATGCTTTGTCTGGTATTGTCTGCTCTGTCTGCGACCTTGTGCTCGTTTGGCAGTGATTGCTTTGTCCGATATGGTCTGCTCTGTCTGCGACCTTGTACTTGTTTGGCAGTGCCTGCCCCGTCCGATATTGTCTGCTCTGTCTGCGACCTCGTATTCGTTTGGAAGCGTCTGCTTTGTCTGGTATTGTCTGCTCTGTCTGCAACCATGTACTCGTTTAGTAGTGTCTGCTTTGTCCGATATTGTCTGCTCTGTCTGCGACCTTGTACTCGTTTGGCAGTGCCTGCTTTGTCTGGTATTGTCTGCTCTGTCTGCGACCTTGCACTCGTTTGGCAGTATCCGCTTTGTCCGATATGGTCTGCTCTGTCTGTAACCTTGTACTCGTTTGGCAGTGTCTGCTTTGTCTGGTATTGTCTGCTCTGTCTGCAACCTTGTATTCGTTTGGCAGTGTCCGCTTTGTCTGATACTGTCTGCTCTGTCTGCGACCTTGTACTCGTTTGGCAGTGTCTGCTTTGTCTGATATTGTCTGCTCTGCCTGCAACCATGTACTGCTGCTGCTGGCGGTGTATGCTCTTTTTGACATCGTCTTCTCTGTCGGAAGCTATGTAATTCATTTGACAGTGTCTACCTCGCCTGGCAATGTCTGCTCAGTCTGATGGTACCCGCTCTTCATGACAGTCCCTTATTCCTCAAGACAATGACTGTTCCTCGAGACGGTGTCAGCTCCTCATAACGGGATTCTGTTTCTAATGACAGCGTCCACTCCGTTTGACAGTGTCCGCCCCGTCTGGCGGTGTATGCTTCATTTTTCAGTGTCCGCTCCATTTCACAGACCCTGCTCCGTAGTAGTACTACCAGTAGTAGTAGTACCGAGGCTTTCGGTTCCCTCGACTGCGCCATCATACAGTGATCATAATACTTCACACTTTAATCAAAGACGCTCAACAGTTTGAAAAGACGCATTACACGGCCTGAGCTCTTTAAATTGGTGTATATTAAGCACAGAAATGAACATGCGTCTAAAATTTGAAAGATGTTCGCTGAGTGGTGACACGTCATCGAATAAATTGGTAAGCGTGCGAGTATGTGCAATCGGGGTCAAGTATCGCAGACATTCAACACCTAATGCAGGACAAGAAATGAGCACATGATGTACGGAATGTTGCGTTACAATGGCGGCACCGAGGCAGTTCATCGCGACACAAAAAGTACGAATATGTGGCGTACGTGTGGACAATCCACAAGCGGCCGTTAAGTTGTTTCCGTTTTCATTTTCGATAGCATGACTGCCATTTCTGGATCACCGGCTAAATGTCTTTGTATTTCAAGTTTGCTGGTGCCTGTCGTGTATATGGTGCGTACATCGTGTATATCCATATGTTTTGTCATCTGCCTCATACAAAACAGAGGAGGCTAGATGTTGTGAATGCCCATGTGTGCAGGACGAACTGCAGCACGCCTTGCGGCGGCGGCGGCACGCTCACCCCCAATGATTCCCACGTGGATTGGAATCCAGCGCAGTGCTATGGTCTTTCCTGCTCGACGAAGGAAAGACCCTCGACGAAGGGAGTCGAGACGTAATAAGATGTCCTGTATGGGAGGATTTGTCGGATTACAACGTCTCACTGCCAAAAGGCCCTCCAGCGAGTCCGGTAAAATGACGTGCGAAACTCTCTTCCACCGTCTCTATAAAGCAAAGTGCTGTACTTATGGCAACAAGCTCTGAAATATTCACAGAAACCCGCGCATGCAGCATGAATGGTCGAATGTCGTCGTCTCTCACAAAGGCGCAACCGACGCCCGTTTCCTTTTTAGGTCCGTCAGCTTTGATTCGTCATGTGATTTTGAACAACCCATACTTTTCAAAATGTTGAAAGGCTTCCAATCTAGCGACACATATAGTCATGCCTTACCTTCGAACCTGCGGCAATGACTTGCCGTACATCGCTCTAACCAAAGGCATCACGAACACGCTTATAAAACGGCTTCGCGCTTCACGAACGCTCGCCGAGAACCGAGCCTGCTCCGCCAGTATCTCTTCCGTCTGGCGGTGCCTGCTCCTTCTGACAGCTCCGTCTGACAATGTGTTCCTCGTCTGACGACGTCGCTCCTACCGAGCCCGCACGGCGGCGGCGCTCGCTCGGCCTCAGAGCGAGCCGGCGCGCCTCCTGCCGCCTTATCAGCAGCAACAGCGCCTCCTAATGATGACGCGATGTTCAATTTCTAAAGGCAACAAACTCACCAGACAATCACTGTTTTTAATGTTTTGATGAGCTGCCCGGGGCGGTGCTGAGGAAAATTGTTGAACGAAAAACTCTGCTGTATTTCTAACATGAAACAGAGGATGGTAGCCGGGATGGTTCCGCGCAAGCGAATGGCACGGCTTGCAAGGGGCCGCGAAGGAAGGATGTGATTAATAGTATGGTATATTGGCTGGAGAGCGCACAGAATAGTGTACAACTTACACAAACCACGACCAGATACATCCTGGTTACACGTAAAAAGCAGGGGGCTCCACCATTGAGGGACCGAACCGGGTTTTGGGGTATGGGCTGTGACGACATAGGTAGGCCCAGTATTATCCTTTTCACTCCTCTCATTAATTCCTTTGCTCAGAAGTGCTACTTCCAAAAATAAAACTTAAACCTACTCCATCTATACAGGCATCCGGCATAACACTGTTCTTCGTACGATCTGCAACTATACTCATCAAATGAGGGTGGTGGTGGTACAGTGGTTAGGATCCTCGACTGGACTTGTTGGTTCTGGGTTCGGGCCTCTGCCACGCCACCACCGCCTCCCACATGATACCCTGATAAAGGCGTCCGCCTCGAAACGGCCCTGGCACTCGGTGAGACGTAAAATCCCAATCATCATTACTATCCCCATCCAATCCCTGTTCCAGAACAGAACAGAGCGTCGCAGCATGCCCTTCTATACAGTGTGCTCACTACAAACACCACAGCCTGCTCGACTCAGGTCACGAATGAATCAGCATAAGTTTGGCGAGAGACGGAACTCTCCAAGCCACGCTTCACGTGCCTCATGCCACCACCGTAAGGACTATCTCGGTGACCGTGGCGCGGCTCAGCTTCATTCCACCATACGTCACTGGTAACTGACGACTTCCCTCGCCCCATGCCGCCACCGGTTGCTGCTCACTGCTCGGACGTCATCCACATCGGTTTAAACAGTCGAACCTGTAATTCCTCGATCAGCTGTAACTGCTACTTGCACGGCCCCAGCGTCAACGGGCGATATGGCACTTATCCACAATACAGAGTCGTTATAATCCGGTTCATCTTAGCTTAGTTATGGCCTAAAAGACTCGACAGGAAAGCCAGGTCAACTTGGCTATTTTACGGAGACAAGTGTACAAGCGAATGCCTGATGGCTCCGCGGAAGACATTGCATGGATCACAGAATCTGGCACTGCATGCCCATAGGTAAAAAGTACGCAGAATGGCACGTTTAACACGCTGTGAACTGACTTTTGTCCAAATTTGAGGTCCATGGGTCATGACTTCCGGGTCAAATAAGGTCCACAGGGTCGAACTCAAGATTGGTGGGCAAAGTGCTCCGGACCTCCTCATGTATCTGCCTTGAACCAAGACAACTGCTCTAAGAAAAAGGTCAATCGTGTTCACTTTAGGTCAGTGATCTTGTTTGACCTTAAGGGGGTTATAGCACCCCAAAGCCTACGAATTGCTTTGATGTTTATTAAATAGGCGTTGAGAATTACGATAGGCGGCATGTCTTCCAAAAGAAAGGGTCGATCTGGGTCATTTTACGTCAGCGACCTACTCTGAACTTTAAGAAGTTAATGGAATATGCCTGTTGCGGTTGCTGTTAACACGAAATCTGAAATGAGCATTAGCAACCATCCCACAACGTAAGCTTTCCAGTCAAACAGGTCGGTCCTTACATCGGAATGACCTTCATATCTGACCCTAGTTCAGCAGAATTTGTGCGATCCCAAATTAATCTGTTCTATTGCCTAAGAAATGACCTCAGAGATGGATACTACCGTCTAACACTCCGTTGTCGCAACCGATCGAACGATTCCCTAGAACTTGCCTTCGCAGACGACCACGGCCTGACCTTGACCTGCCATAGGTCAGCGAGCCTACAAGATACATTTCATCTTGCGTACCAAAGCGTACGCATTGGTGTCGACCTTTGCGCTTTTCATGGTCTAAGGACGAACGGCACACGCATCTCCAGAGCCAAACACGTTTTCATAAAGCAAATACCGAATTTTTGGTAGCGTTCGGAATAGGTAGTGGGAAGACCTCAATGTAAGAGGGTAATTTTGCTTTGAATTTCAACCTCGTTTTGCTTAGCGCATCTGTAAGACCAGCACGCGATTATTCGTGACTTTTTTTGCCAAATGACAACAGAAAATGATAGCACTTTTCCTTTCATAAGCCGTTCCAAAGTAACATGGCCTACAGAACAACCATTCACAGACCCTACTGCTCCGCACTCGCAGCAGCCGCGACACGGTTCCCTCCATGCCAGTAGGCCGGTGCGGGGATTACCATCTGTGTGACGACAGTCAGCACAGGGGGCCGGCCCGCCGCAGAGCGGTCCATTAGCCGTCCTATTCCCACCACAGACCGAGCGTCCGTTGGCCGGTCGGGCGCGAGACGGTAGCGGGCCAGAAGAGTACTTTGGCGACAGGCTGTTGAGCTTCGCATCGCATATACTTACCGGAGAACATGTGACGGTTACTGGCCATTTTCTTTGCACTAGCACAGGGCACGACCCGCCCTCAGCCCATCGGCTCAGCTGCGGTCCCGGTGTGGGTTCACAGAGATACAAATGGCTCACCGAAATAGTCGCCCACTGACAAAGCTCAAGACGTTCCCTTAATTCGGTTCTTCCCGCGTCGCCCCCGCAGACCCGAGAAAGACAGCTTTACACCAGAAGCGCACCTGACAACCACGTGAAACCGTCTTACACACATGGCCCCCTTGAGTGTACAGATGGAATGTCGGACGAAGACGGCAAGTCAGTGACAGTATCAGGGCGACATCAATAAATATTCGAGTGACATCGGAGCAAACTCGCGCTACACAACACAGACCGCATGATCTGAAGGCCTACACACACACTACAACTCTAATCAATATGATAATAAAGGTCGCAATCCAGACTGTGGCCTGGCAGGTCGCGCCGCTCCGACTGACCTGAGGTAGCCTCGGTTGTCGCCGGCCTCCGCCAGCTCCTTGATGCTGCTCAGTAGGATGTCATCATAGCCGATCAGGCGGGCCAGGATGAGGCGGCTCAGGTGGTCGCCGAAGCACGCGTCCTTGTCCGGGTCCAGCAGGACGATCTTGGTCGGCACGGAGAGGCGACGGCGCGTGGCCGGCGACAGCCGCAGCAGGCCGTACTCCAGCGAGTACTCGACGATGTACTCCTCGTCCGGCCACACTGGCGGCGGCGGGGAGGGACACACATCACACACAGCTGCGGAGTACTCGACAGCGTACTTGACAATGCACTCCTCGTCTGGCCACACTGGCGGCGGCGGGGGAGGGCCACACGTCAGACACAGCTGCAGAATACTAGACAATGTACTCCTCGTCTGGCCACACTGTCGGTGGGGGGGGGGGGGGGGGGGGAGAAGAAGGAGCAGCTGCAGAGTACTAGACAATGTACTCATCGTCCGGCCACACTAGCGGCCGCAGCGACGTTTGCAGTGTGCAGTCCATCCGAGCGACACTGGACCCCGCCGGCGGCGAGAACCGGCACTAGGAAGGTGTCCGGCCGGCGCCCGCTGACAGACGGGGCCAAGCCGTCCGCCGTTCAGCAACACAACTCTCAACATCGCACTGTCTGCGGCAAACGGCCCGGCGACATAACATCAGCATTCCAGCTGGCAATGCGGGACAGCGCCACGGCCACGACAGCGCGCTTACTCCGCTGCGAGCGCGAAACATCAGCCGACCCTGGCAGCGGCGGTCAGCTCTCGCCCAACACGCAGCGTGCGTCGCCTGCCGGCAGCGGTCTGGCGGCGGCCGCCCGTCACCGCCCGCCGCCATCGGCGGCCGGCGCGCACGTTTCGCACCCCATCGGTCTCCGGGCCAAATTTAATAACCCGTAGGATGGTGCGCGAGCGCGGCCGGCGGCCATGCGGGCGCGAACCTGGCCGGGTCGGCGACCGGCCGGCGCCCGGCGGCACGCCTCGGCCGCGCCTCTCGCCAATGAATACCTAAAGCAATCTGAGCCTGATTCGGGCGCCGTGGGAGGCCCGCGCCCGCCGCGTCGCCAAACCGAATTACTATGGAAATAAAACCCGCTCCGAAATGAAATTGTGACTAAGGCGAGCCGATGGAATCAAACGGTTCGACACCATGTTTCGCTAATCAAACGGCGTATGGAAATGTCAGTCATCGCGTTCGACGGCGGCGGCGCGCGGCCGGCGCCGGAAAATGGCGCGCCGGCCGCCGCCGAGCGCGCGCCCGGATCGCGCCGACTTATTGGATTACGCGGGGTTAAATGAGCCTTACGGAACGTGCCGCGCCCGTGCGGCAGCGCCGCACTTACAATCCGCTCATCAGGTGCGGCGCGGTGGCCGGCGGGGTGCACTGGGGTCCTCTCAGTCTGTCGGCCGGGCTCGGCAGGTGCAGCCCAGCCCAGCCCGAGTCTGCCGGCCGGGCTCGGCAGGTGCAGCCCAGCCCAGCCCGAGTCTGCCGGCCGGGCTCGGCAGGTGCAGCCCAGCCCAGCCCGAGTCCGCCGGCCGGGCTCGGCAGGTGCAGCCCAGCCCAGCCCGAGTCTATCGGGCCGGCCTGGGCGGCCCACGCCGCCACCGCCATCCGCGCTGACTGTATGGAGCCTTCCGTGTCGTAGCGTGTGGCTTATCGTGTGCCTGGCGCGGCAGACTTGTGTTATCTGTGTGGGCGCTCACGCGCGTCCAGCGAGCACTAACACGCGCCTACGCAGCGCCTGCGGGGCTGCGGCGGTCCCGCGCACACGCCGCTATCGGCGGTTGCGGGCTATCCAGCGGGATCGGCACAGCTATGCCCCGCCCCCTCCCTCCCCCACAGACCACCTCCTCACTCCAGCACCTCTCCTTTCTCCTGGGCAGACCGTACAACGCTAGACGCGCGTCGTTCACCGAGACACCCCTCCGGCTCTCTGGTGAGCCTTTCCCTCCCAGCAGCAGTTCTGTCCCCCGACCAAGGTCTGTATCGCGCCTCCAACAGGTGCGGTCATTATGAATGGGACACGGCGGTGCGAGCGCCGCCTGAAACCCGACCCGACTCAATATGGCGCCCGGTAATGACGGCTGGTAATGTTTCCCGGCGGGCGGCGGCAGCGGCTCCGGTGCTCGGGCGGCGGCGGCGGCGGCGGCCACGGCACTCGTGAGCCGCCGGCTGATGGCGTACCAGCGTACCACTGATGGCGCCGCCACCACTGGACGCCGCTGGCACGCCCTGCCAACTGATGACGTGCCAGCGTACCACTGATGGCACCACCACCAACGGACGCCGCTGGCACCCCGCTACCAACTGATGGTGTACCAGCGTACCACTGATGGCACCATCACCACTGGAAGCCACTGGCACGCGCTGCCAACTGATGACGTACCAGCGTACCACTGATGGCACCACCGCCACTGGACGCCGCTGGTACCCTGCTGCCAACTGATGACGCATCAGCGTACCATTGATGGCACCGCCACCAACGGACGCCGCTGGCAACTCGCTACCGACTGATGGCAACCTGATGGCAAACTGATGGCTAACTGATGGCAAACTGATGGCAACCCCACCGGAACACCGGTGGGGATGCCATCAGTTAGCCGGACAACAGATTACCACGGCCAGCTCCATGGTGAGCTGCGGTTGGAGCCGCGGACAGCACCCGTCCGTTGCTGGCTAGTCGCAGCTCGAGGCCGCCGCGCCCCCCCCCCCCCCCCTCGGCTGCAGGTCACCACGCCGGCCGACGGCAGTCGGGTGGACGTCGGAGGGCCTTCCACACGCTGGCAGTGCGCCGGACAGGCCACCGTCGTGTTCGACAGGCTGGTCAAGGGGGGGGGGGGGGGGAGGGGCGTCAGGACGGGGCGGAGCGTTCCCCGCGGCCCGGAAGAGCGGGGGCGGTGGTGAGTGCGATTGCAGCTCTGTCTGCATCGGACACCGGGACCTGGCCGATGACTCGTACGAGGACGGGCGGCGGTGGTGTCGACTGAGAAGGGCGAAGGGCGACAAACGGCACTTGAGCGTACCCGCTGGACGGACTCATACCGGCCGGAGCAGGTGGCGCCCCTGGTGGCGGCTCAGGACACAGCGGACGCCCAACAGGAAATCAACAATGACAGGTTCTGCACGGACTCCCTCTCCCTCGCTGCCCACCTCAGCTATAGCGCGAGTAGGAAAAAGCGACCAGGAAACCTCTCGAAGAAATGGTCATCCCTGGCCAGCCTGAGCCATGTGGAGATCGACAGCGGTGAGAATGCGCACGAGGCAGTCAATCAGGGCTGTCGTCTGACCCAAGAAAACGTACGCAACGACATTCCCTTGGCCGAGGCGGCTCACCAGGCAACCGACGGCGCCGTCCGAGCACATCCACTGGAAAGCGACCGGGGGTCACAGCCTGAAATATGAGGGCCACCGATGAACAAGTGACGCCGCGTCAGCTTCGCGCCAACCAGCACTCAGCGCCACGCTGCTCCGGTGGAGCAGGCCGCGCAGCGACGGTCTGCGCCCGAGTGTGCGCCGCTGGAGGATACTGACCACCTGGCCTGTGCCAGCCGGCTGTACTGAGCGGCTACGTCAGCCGTTTTGGCGTCACTCGGACGTTGGCTGCGACGCCGGGTGCCCCAGTGGCCGCGGTTCGGGGGCTGGTGTCTGACGGTCGGCTGGCCGCACCCGCCGGGCAGCGGCAGCCGGCGGCGGCAGGTGCCGCCCGCCGCCGGGAGCCGTCCGCCGGCCGCGCCTCGTTAGGCGGCGGACGGGCGACCCCCGCGGGGGTGCTGCCGCCCGCGCTCAGGCCGGCGCGGCGCGCCCACCGGCCGCCGCCGCGGCGGCAGACACGCTCCGTCGCCGACAGGGCGGCTCCAGGTGTCGCCGCCACCAGGCTAGGCCGGCAGCACACGCCGGCGGCCTGGTGCATCAGCCACTCCCCGGTGACCACTGCGCAGACGAGGCCGCCCTTTGGTCGGCACTGAGGATCGCCATTCATTTCATCGTAGCTATGTGTCCAAATGATATGTGCCCGTACCTGACCAAAGCGAGTGCCTGAAAGTTCAAGCACCACCCCTATCAGATAAAAACTGGCAATTATCTAGCCTGTTTCAATCCTCACTTTGGTAACTCATGTGAACTGCATTAATCTCCCATCGGCTCGCTGCAAAATCACTTCAATTCCGGGCCCACTCGCCAGCGGCCGCCTGCCGGTGGGCCGGTGCACCGGCCCGCGCCCGCCCGTCGGCCGGGCGCCGTCCCAGCGGGCGGCGGCCCGGCCCGGCCCGGCCCGATGCCGGCGCCGGCGGTGACCTGCCGCCCGGTTCATGCGCACGGCGGCTGAGTGCGGGCACGCCGGGCGCGGCCGCCGTCCGGCAGGCACTCCAGAGCCGCTCTGGGCATCATTTATAAATGCCGCCGGCGGCGGAGCGGCGGCCGCTGTAATACAGCCCTCCGCGCGCCGTATTGCTGGCTTCCCGGGGGCGTCGTTGGGACGCAGCCATTTGCTAATGTCATTGGCGTTTGATGCGGCGCCGGCGGCCGGCCGGATTGCGCGCTCCAGCTCCGACCCGCTCTGAGCGGCTTACCGGCCGCCCGGAGGCGGCTCTGATCCGGCCCAGCTGGGGGTCAGTCAGCTCTGGCCGCCGACGGGCTCGTCCGCCCGGAAGGTCAGCACCGGACCCCCTTACACCCAGGTCAGCGGTGGGTCTGTCCACCCGAAAGGTCAGCAGCGGGTCTGTCCGCCCGGGTGGTCAGCACGGGGTCTGTTCGCCTGGAAGGTCAGCAGCGGGTCTGTCCACCCGAAAGGTCAGCAGCGGGTCTGTCCACCCGAAAGGTCAGCAGCGGGCCCGTCCATCCGGGATGTCAGCAGCGGGCCCCCTTACACCCGGGTCAGCAGTGGGTCTGTCCACCCGACAGGTCAGCAGCGGGCCCGTCCATCCGGGAGGTCAGCAGCGGGCCCCCTTACACCCGGGTCAGCAGTGGGTCCGTCCACCTGAAAGGTCAGCAGCGGGCCCGTCCATCCGGGAGGTCAGCAGCGTCTGCGTCTAATCAACGCCTGCTTGCCCGGTCGTGACGACAACGGACCTCCAGACCATGACAGACAAGACACACAGACACACAACCACACGACAGCCCGAGCTGCCACCGCTTGCGGAGGTCACGACACCAATGATGCCTGAGGTGTGATCTTTGAGATTACGGACACACAACACGATGGCCAACCCGCTGGAGACCTGCACCACGACAAAGGAAAACCACTGCCGAATCCACTGCAAGCCGCCGCTGTATCCTCCACAGCATATCCCTGGTTCCCCCCCCCCCCCCCCGTCCCAGGCCGAGAGTGACACGGTGACACCGGCTGCGACACGGCTGGCCGCCTGCCGGAGCGACGGACGCCCACCGGTGACCCGCCCTCCCTGGCCGGGTCGGAGCCCTGACCCCTCCACTGACCGGTCTTAATCAGCCTCTCCAGTCCGGACACGTCCTGGTCCAGCGTCGTGTCGCCGGCGGCGGCGGCGGCGACCGGCGGCGGCGCGCCTTCCGTGCCGTTCTGCTCGGCCGCCGGCTCGTCCGAGGTCGCTGACAGGTCACCGTCGGCGGCCTGCGGGGGCGGGGTGTGTCAGGGGCGAGGGCGGCCAGACGGCGCGCGCCGGCGGCGCCACCGACCGCCTCCCCAGAGACCGCCGCCGTCTCGTCCCGTCCCGCCCGCTAACACGGGCCTGAATACTTCACCAGTAGCTGCGGAGACCAATTATTGCGTGAGATAGACCTGCGAATGGAGCTACCGACGAAACAAAAACACATGTCGCGACAGCACACACGCTCCACTCCAATTGGGCTACGGAACCTAACGCTGCAACTTCAAGGTGTAGCTTCCCTGCACATTTTTTGGCTTCCGCAACAGCTGGCCTCCCCAAGGTCTTTCGCCTCATTAATAATGGCACACATCAATCTAAGTGCACTTCGCTGCGCCGAGCGCCGCTGAAGTGCAAGGAGCCATTCGCCTGCCCAGCTGAAACGCTAAATCCTCGAACCGAATCTGTACCTGTCTGCATAAACAATGCTTTGGGATCGAGTCCAATGATGCCAGGAGGCCTGAATAAGTAGCTGAGCGTGAGAAGAGCTCACTGTGACAGTCGCAATCCATTACAGCGAATAAAAAATGCAGAATAAAGTAGGGTAGGAGATAATATTTCAGCCAGCTCGTTGCTATTGAGCTGCAGCTTTTGGGATTATCTCTATTTCTTCCTAGGCTTTGGCCAGACAATCAGACGAAAAACAGGCTCGGGGACCCATTATGAAAGCCTAGAAAGTTCAGGTAAAGGAGATCTAAACTTACTTCAAAGTTTTTTATTTATTCTATTAATCATTTTAACCATAAAAATATCAAGAAAACTTTGCCAGAATATATTGTTCCAATTCCTGTTTAACTAAGGCAGAAAAATGGATATATTTCCCGAAAGCTGTCGTTCAATAAAACCAACCTCTTGAAAGATTATCTTCTTACGACAACTATATTCCAGCTCCATATTACTCTGAAACTCAAATGCGCAATCAAATAGCATATTCCAACCTAGTTTGTTATCCACACTGTGCCATTCTCGGGGATCTGAGCGAGGCCAGGAGAATTGCACAGACTGGGCTGATTTACTAAATGTCTCCTTCAACGCCGTCACCACCCAGCCATCCAGCCGTCACCGACAGCCGCCGCTGGGGGACCTTCAGAGACGCGCCAGACCCACATTATGCCAGAACCTGATGCACCGTTAGGCTAATACCGAAGATCAAAGTCACTTCCTTGCCGGGTGTAGGCCGACAAAGTAAATAGCCAGAATCCTTCACAAAAGCTTGTGTTCATCTTCTCAACAGCGCGGTAACAGCTGATTCAGATTACGTGGGAGCGGAGAGGGCCGACGACGCTGGCGCGGCCGGGAGCGGCCCGCCCCTGGCGGCGGAAGTTTGGCCGCCGGGACGCTGCACGGCGGCGCGGCTCCTCAGAGCCAGCGGCGGAGGCAGCGGCAGCGGCAACGGCGGCGGCGGCGGCGGCCAGACGGCCTACTCTGAGACTGCCAGCCGCTGCATCCCTGCGCCTCAGTCCGCGGCCGGACGGGGGGGGGGGGGGCGGACTGCGCCTCGGTCCGCGGCCGGCCGGAGGGCGGACTGCGCCTCGATCCACGGCCGGCCGGAGGCCCTATCCAGGCTGAATATTCCGTGCAATGACCTGATGTCATGCACTGGTCCAATCGCCCTAAACTGGGGCTGTCCCATCCACCGCGTCAACTTCGGAATACAACCAGACATGGAGCTTTGGGCATTGCGTAGGAAGAAACGAAATAAAAACAAACCGCGGTTGCCTTCACCCGCCCCCTTCCTCTTCCCCTTCCTTCCTTCCCCCGCCCCCCCCCCCCCCCTACCCCCCAGATGAGTGCGCCCAGGGTTTTTGGTGATGCTGACCCTGATGCACGGACTCGGCAGCTCCCACATACGCCATGTGTTTTAGTGAAACGCGTCTCAAGGGACAATCAACATGTACTCATCACGCTCCCTGACACCTGCATTGTCCAACGTCATGTATGGCCTGACATTGGTGTGATAACCACAAGACACCCGTGACACCGGCTGAAATTCCAACCAAGCTGTGGACATCTATAGCATTGTTTTTTTGCGAACAGTTATTACATAAAGCGTGCACTCGCTTGATGCAAGGTGGCTTATTTCTAGACATCCGCTCTTCTGGTATGGCGAGCTGATAAGGCCTGTCTGCACTATAACGATACTCAGCGTCCGCTGTGTGTAGTAATAAGCGCCGCTCTCGGCGCCCGGCGGCCACCACCGGCATGCTGTGTGTCCGGCGGTGGGCTCACCTGGTCGGCAGGTGGTGAGCTCAGCTCCTCGGACAGTAAGTGCGGCGACGACCCGTCAGAGCCCGGACCTGCGGACAGCGGCAGCCGTCAGTGCCGTCGGAGCCCCGACCTGCGGATAGCGACAGCCGTCAGTGCCGTCAGAGCCCGGACCTGCCGATAGTGGCAGCCGTCAGCACCGTCAGAGCCCGGACCTGCGGGCAGTGGCAGCAGTCAGCTCCGTCAGAGCTCCGACCGCGGCCCGGCCGAACGCACGCGCCGCCACCGCCGCGGCCCGCACCGCCGCTGACCCGGTCCCATGCGTGCCCGCCGCCGGCTAGTCGGTGTCCGATGGAGGAGGAGGGTGAGCGCACGCATGGGCCTGGACAAGGGTCTGAAGCTGGGGACACGGACTGATGCCGCCATACGCCTGGCGTCTCAGCAAAGACGCGCGAAATCACACGCAATGCCACGATGGAACAAAATGTTGCAGCTGACACCGTAACTGACGGTGTAGACCACGGTGTTAAAATCACTTAACGGAGGTGAAGCAACCAAGTTGCCATCCGCAGCGAACGTTTCACCCTTTACACAAATGAGAATCAAAGTGAGAATCAGTGTGAATGTGAGAATCAAATGAGTCAATGGGTGCATGACGAGCCAGTGGCCCATTTCAAAATGAATTGCACGTCTGAGCCCCATCCTCACGTGCATTGCGCCATATTGCAGCAGTGGCAGCCCTTGGACACTGACGGCCCACACGCCCGGACGCTGTGAACACTCCAAGAAGCCACAGCTCCACGCCAACGTTCCGTGTTGTGTCCCTTCACGAACCGGTCATCACATCACCTCATCACGAACCGGTCATCACATCACCTCATCATGAACCGGTCATCACATCACCTCATCACGAGCCGGTCATCACATCACCTCATCACGAACCGGTCATCACATCACCTCATCATGAACCGGTCATCACATCACCTCATCACGAACCGGTCATCACATCACCTCATCACGAACCGGTCATCACATCACCTCACGTTACGCAGACCGACCTCAGCCGCAGCTGTCAACCGACATGCTGCCAGACAGCGCGACACTTGTCCGCCAGCGACGCAGTTTTGTCGGTCCCCACCGGCACGCCGCTGGCCGCGGCGCGGGCGGCGGCGCGTGCCGGGGCACCGGAGACAGCAGACCGGCCGTCGCACCGGCCCGACCCGAGTCAAACTCGGCTCGGATACCGGCGCCGCCCGTGCCAAACCTCGGCCTTATTGGATTCCGCCGGCTGAGACGTACAATATGCCCGTCGTCAAATCTAATCCCTGCACATTACCGACACCTTGGAGTCGATGAAGAGCGGCCGCCTCGCGTGTTGGCCCTCGGAAGCTGCGTAATCGCCGAAAAAGAGCCGCCACTCGGCGGCCGCCGGCGATCGTCTGCCGCAGCGAGCCCTTGATCCCCACACCGAGCCAGCCATTACCGGTAAGCCACTGAGACGCCCAACGCCACTTCCATGGGGCCACAACGAAACGTTCGTATCCGGAGAAGAGCTCGCCGCGCTGGCCCAAGCAAATGGATGAATTTGTTTTGTTGTAAATTGAACAGCTTCCCGGATGTTCCGGTCACACTGGGTGCATCCACCAGTTTGATGCAGGGTGGAGTGCGCTTGAAAGTCGCCCAAATCAATGCAATGTCAAACTGAAGAAGATCCCTCCGAAGATGTGTTCATTAGGAGCGCAGCTAAATGAAACGGACTGCCTGAAATCACTGAGCACCACATGTGATAATGACCATGCTAATTAGAAGATAAATTCATTATGTATATATATATATATATATATATATATATATATATATATATATATATTATAAGCATTTTGTAAAATTCAGATGCATTGATACTGTGTTATATGCATGCTTTCATAAAGCAGCAAGCGTATAGCCCTAAGCTGTTGCCAAAATCATGATTCATTCGGTAACGATTGCGAGACTAACCAGACCTGCTGAGTCGGGGTTGGAGTGGACTCAAGACTACGCTTTACCACGCGGAGTCAGAGTAGCAATTAGGCCCATGCACTGAAAGTCCAACCACCATTTGAAGCCGTTCGAGTGGAATCTAGTCCCTGTCTCCTCGCGAGGCGTGCACAGGGCCATGGTGGAACTCAGGGAAGCACTCAACGGAGTGCGGCTAGCTACTGCGTACATCGCTTGGTCGGATCGCCCGGGCGTAACGCGACATTGGGGAAAGACTGGCGCGCGGAACAAACAGCACACTTGGTGGACAAATTAACCAGACGTAATGAAACTTCTACCTCAAGTTTAAGCTTACAACACACGTGGGTACATGTCTTTTAAGCGGCGCAAGGGCTCACACTTTTATTCTTAGTCGACACGCATACGCACGCGTTTTGAAAATGAAACATAAATCCATACGTAGATACCAGCCTCCAAGGAGGCGAACATTTCTATTTTACCACGAGACAGCAGCGATGTCGCGGAGGATGCGCAAAGGCGATCGGCGAACGCACCGTAAAGCCACGCAACCGCATGGTTACGATAAAGTTTATAACCTTCACTATAACTAAGCAATGTGTGTGATGAGAGAACGCATTCTGCTCTTGACGTACGCCAGCTCAAATGAAGCATGTAAAGCCGACAAATGATTTCCGAAGCATCCATATAACCTACCCAAGTGACGTAAGTAGCTCACCCATTGGAGCACTGGCCTTTCAGCATACAGAATGCTTCATTCAGAATCCTTCAGTAGCCACAAGGGTGCGATGGAACAGCTCAGTTTCGCTACAACCCGCACCATACATTTCATTGATGGCCATTGCAAAACTCTCGATTTGGGGCAAAATGCAAACGGTGAAGTTTTCGAGCCGACGAAGGTCTTACACCCGGCGATGGTGCCGTATTCACGACGAAGCGGTTCCAAAGCTCCGCAATGCCGTAGTTGGATGGATAGCACCAGCTTTTATCACACCGAACTGGTCCATCTTCTGGAATGGTGAGAACGCGCTGCGCCAATCCCTCATTCGTGGCACGTGTGGGCACCGGCTGCCACCAAATACCGCACGCGGCCCGCGTTCAGCAGCGCTATTGAGTTAACAACAATGATGCAATAACGCAGAAAAAGCCGGCTCTGCACTCCAGGCATTTGTCGCATTGTGCAACGAAATCGTCTCTAGTGCTCTAAATGTGAACGCGTCTGCACGTGCTCTACACAGGGCGTCTGGCGTTTTTCTTCGAGAAATCCGTCCCAAAGTTCGCTGTGTCATCCCAGGTAATGCGGAACCAAGCGTGCCCTCCCCCCCCCTGCATCGCATTGGCGTCATTAGACGGCGATAAGACCTGATCGACAATAAGTCGATGACGACAGCACACTGGGCCGTCTGTCGCAGCTCCCGCCACCGTTCAACGACGCCCGCGGCAGCCGACACACGCAGCTGAGAATGCCACGGCAACTGAGCATATCACTGCTGACATGCCTGAGGTGATTGATCAGCGCGCCGCCAGTTCCCATCGGCCAGGACGAACGCGCCGCCCAGCCGGGTTGTCGTGACGGACACTCACCAGAGGCGTTCATAAAGCCGCCGGCCGGCTCCGAGGGTGGTGCAGCGCCGTCTATAGAGTCAACAGTTGCTGAAGTCTCCACCAGGGGCAGCTCGCCTCCGCTCCCTCCCAACACTTCCACAGTCTCCTCCTTGCCCTTGTCCTTTTTCCTGAATGAGAAGAACACCCTCGTTCCAGCAGAGCGACTTTCCGCTTACGACAGCAGGCCGCAATGGGAGCTTGACGACGACGTTGCAGCACAAAACACACAGGAATCCTGCAGTCCTCTCCAGTACACAGGCCGTCACGTAAGTGGTGAGTTGCGTTGCCCGCAACCCACACGCGCCGTGGATCAGTCATTGAGCCGCCCCCCCCCCCCCCTCCCGTCCGCCCCACCCCCTCTTTTCGCCCCGGCACCCAACAAGAGCCGGCGGCAGAGGCTGGTCCGTCCCGTCACCCCGCGCGCACCTCCTCTCGCCGTCCAGCAGCTCCTCCAGCGTGCTCAGGATCAGGTTGTCGGGGTCTCGCAGCTTCAGCCGCTCCTCCTTCTCGTACGACTTGGCCAGCGTGTAGTCCTCACCTGCAACACGCGCGCGCCACCTCATGGCATGACGTGAGCGCAGACGGGAGCCCCATCAAGACGCCTTTTGGTCGCATGTGCATGCGAGCATCACTGAAGAGTTTGAAAGCCAGCCCTTAAGGGTTTGTCCAACAGAGGCTCCATCAGACTGAGTCTATCGGGCAGAGGTTCCGGTCTGCTGGTGCTCTGGCGTTCAGCAGGGACGGGGCGCGTAGTGACGTCACTGCGATCCCGCCGCGAAACATATGACGTGAACAAACTTGGCAAAGCGCTGGGCGTCCGTTGCCAGAGACCGATGAGTGACAGTGGGTGATGAGTGATTAATTGTTGGCTCATGAACTGTGAACTGTGAGCTTCTGAAGATTGTAACGATTTGTAACGAGGATTGTTTCGTTAGGTGTGCCCATCCAAAAGGGCTGTAAGGTAAGCGATGCACACTGGACAGTACTTTGTTGCATGGTAAGCTGAAAAACAGGCATAGGGCGTCTGGACGTTTTTTTAGTTACACAGTTATGCTAAATGTCGTTCGCTCCCTGGACATGGTTGGAGATTCATTGGGGAAGAGAGACCTGTTCACTAGGCCTGGGTTCGAGTCCCACAGAACGCGGTCTGTTTCTCTTCGCCATAAAATCGATGGTCAAGTGGTAGCCGACCAGAGGGCTCGCAATCTGGTATGGGATAGACGGATCACGCTAGTGCATGGCACGGACACGGCCACTCCACGATCCTGCCTGGAAACTAGGCCGGATACATAGATTTAGTCCGTATCTGCATATACCAAATTTGACCTAAGAATGTGCATCTATGTATGACTACCATAGCGATGCATAACACAACGCAGAACTAAAGAAGCTGCATTGCTATCAAACCCAATGAAAGAGAACGTTGATGTGTCTCATCGTCCGGCCCACGCCTTTAGCTGTACGGCATTGTCATAGGTCAGACCCGGCACCGGATCGTGGGCCGCCGCGAGGGGTGAGACCACGCCTCACTCACCCTGCTGTGTATGATCTCCACGGCCGGGGAGGTCAGACCCGACACCGGGCCGTACGCCGCCGCGGGAGGGGGGACGAGACCACGCCTCACTCACCCGGGCTGTGTATGATATCCACGGCCGGGGCGGACACACCCGACACCGGGCCGTACGCCGCGGCGGGAGGGGGACGAGACCACGCCCCACTCACCCGGGCTGCGTATGATCTCCACGGTCAGACCCGACACCGGGCCGTACGCCGCGGCGGGGAGGGGGGACGAGACCACGCCCTACTCACCCGGGCTGCGTATGATCTCCACGCGCAGGATGCCGTCGCGCGGCCAGTCGGCCTTCACGTGGTCCAGACAGTGGGTGGGCAGGTGTGAGAACGCCACGTGGATGTAGCTGAGCATGACCAGCGAGCAGATGGCCTGCGGGCGACACCAGCCACTCGTCAGCTGTCGCGACAGCGTCCCAGGACAGAGCACGGCACAGCTCAAGAAGAGCCCGCATAAGTCATCTGGCGAACGTGCCCATCTCTCAGTGCTACCCAGCAGCAACACTTGTCAACACCCGTAATGACAACCCTGTCGTCCAGCACAGCGCTTTGATGGTCGTCTTTCGATAATGCCGTTGTTTTGGCAAGCACACATTTGGTTCGAGGCGTTCGCGAAAGCAGTCGGCCCAATCAACACACATTAGAGAGCACATAAAGAATGTCTCTGACGACAGCGATGCAAAGCTTCGACTCCACGTGGATCGAGGCTGGCGGTGGCTTGGCCCAAGCTTAGCCCCGCTGGGAAAGCCAGTGGGGCGAAGCTCGATCAATCAGCTGGGTCACCCCACATGCACAGGGCCAATGGGACTGAGCAATGACGCCACTGCAGCACTGTCTCAATCCACGCCGACGAAAGATTGCATTGCGATCTACGAGGGAGATCTTTGATCGGTTTCCGACTTTGACAGGAAAGAAAGGCAGTGACCTCAGAGTAGCCAGCTGCACCCACTGGCAGTGCAGCACCCATCAACAGGGGTTTGAGACAAGACTTCTGGACGTACCACCAGCAGGGAGGCGAACTCGATCATGCGGCGCACGCGCGGCGTCAGCACGCGCGCGTAGCCCAACGACAGGCGCACGAACATAGCGTGGAACAGCCGGTCCCGGATGTTCACAAACTGCTGCTCAGCATTCTGCTGCTGCTGAGGCTGCTGCTGAGGCTGGGGCGGAGGTGGAGGAGGCGGCTGGGGCTGCTGCGGCGGCGGCGGCTGGGCCTGCTGCGGAGGTGGCTGGGCCTGCTGCGGAGGTGGTGCATCCGGCTGCTCCTCCTGCGCGCCGCCGCCCAGCAGCCGTCGGCGGCGCAGGTTCGCAAACATGTTGTCGATCAAGCCAGCCATGACCAGCTAGATGATCCCTTCCTCTGGCTCTCTCTTTTGCTCTCTAATTATGCAGATCCCACTGCACAAGTCAACCTTCTAAGCCTGGGGAGCACAGGTGGCACGCAAGCATTGGACAGCGGAACCACAAACTGTTCTGCATCAGGTGCTGCATGTGAATATACACAACCTAAAACATAGGAGTTGTCTAGCCAGTGTCAAACACTGATTCACAAGAGGCATAACAGCTGTAATGCATTGCAAAAAACATTTCTTACTTTACATACAGTCTGGCATAGTACATAGTCAGTGGTCCGCACTTGTGTGTCCCCAATGCCATAGGCCAAAATATGTGTTTTGTGTAACCTTGCATTTGCTACAGTCCCTAAATTTATAGTTCATATATATGAAAGCTATTCATCAGTAATCCTGAGCATCAAGGTATATGAATGCCCAATCTACCTACCTCTCTATTAAGATCAAGTCTGAGCTTTTGTTCAGATGGACCTCTAGGGTCAGCACCCATGGCAAGCAAAGATTGTGATGGCATAACCATCTATCATCATCCCATCATCAAATCCTGGGTCAACAGCAGAGTTTTGTGAGCCTTCTGACATCACCTGACCTTTAGTGCTGCCACTTCCTCAAGATTCTAGCCATCCCATTCATGGAAAATAGTGAGCTCCTAAAAAGACTCAAACCCTTCCTATTTTGATACCAATGTTTGTGAAGGATGTATTTACACTGTCACAGATGTAAGTATTCACAACTTTGTTAACATGGTGCCAGAGTCATAGCTTTTGTCACTGACAGACTGTTCTTTGTTTGTATGGGATTTTGAAGAGAGATAGCCATTTTCAAGTTATTCCTGTGGTTCAGTTACGCAGAGAGTCCATACACAGTCAGTTAAAAACCCAAGGTTTCTAACAATTATCTGAAGACACTGGATTGTTGCTGTTTTCTTTATATCCTAAGGTCCTTTTTTGAAATTAAGATGATTAATTCACAGCATTTTGTTGCATTTCTTGGTTCATGAACTTTCTTACATTACCAAACAATTAGAAAATTAGCAGTATATTATTGGGGTTTGTAAACAAAAGTTTGCCATTCACCAAACAAGCATCACAAGAAGGTCTTCAGTGATATACTTAAATCATCTGATTAAATTCATGAGAACCTTTAACATTTACAATGGTATTCAGCAGCTCACTCAAAGGTCCCCTTGAAGACAAAAGGCAGACACCTGTTTGGGAGTAATTTGTAGGTCACAAGGCTAACACCTTTTGAAAAATCACATCAGATATCACACAACCAGCAAATTCTCACCAATCACAGAAGACCACAAAGTATACATGTGGACACTCCCAAAACACAGTGAACAGTTGTACACTCCTCCCCCTTCCATCATACAGGACTGAACAGCCCAGTTCCTCTGTTCCAGTTTCAACCAATAACAGGGTTACAAATTATCATGTGGTGTATTCTAAAGCAAAATGTGATCACTCAGGTCTCATCAAAGCCTCCAAACTTATTTCCTCAACATTGGATAAAATAGAATTGCTGTCATTCTTCAGGTTCTTTTAACAACTACCAGCATGGCAGCATAATCACCCTGCAGCATTGATCAGTAGACAGCCAGATTCACAGCATGCAGGTTGTTTCCTAGCAGACTGGCAGATTCAGATTATTGAAGGTAGATGGAATCTGCAATGATAGGTACAGAATAATGGATAGCATACTAACACTCGGAAGCTTACAGATGTACTGCGACTTACATGGATGCAACCTTGGCAGGGGGATATGCACATTTCCAGTGAGCCTACTGTCTAGTTAAAAGGCCCAATAAAAACAAGCTTCTTGATATCCCTCCAGTTCCACGTTAATGCGTGTAGCCCCACACACGAGCCCAACGCACCAATGAAGCGCGCTCCCCCTCGGTGTCGTGCATTTAGCATTTTGATTGCATTCAAGGCCGTATGAGAGGTGAAACCGTCCGGTGATTCGCTAAACGTTAGCGTGACGTCACTGGTTGTGAGGTTTCAGTGCATGGCGGGCAACTAGATGTCTGACATAATGTTGAGCAACAACCGGAAATATTTGTAAAGGTGATGAGAAACCGTTATCAGAGGGTACATGCGATTGGTGATCCACTTCTGTGGAACTCCGTGGCAAATATGATGACGCACTTTGCCAGCCAATGTTGTAAACCATCAAAATGTGTTAAATGAAATGTGGGGACGTAGACAGCAGGCACGATTCTTGCTCCCAATAAGACGGCAAAAACATTGCGCTGTCTTCGCACCCATACATGGCTGTAGGAACAGAAGGGCAGGGCCCCCTGCCTCCTCCCCTTCCCCGCCGCCGCTTTGCAAGATGGGGGCCAGCAATGTGAATTGCCCCTCCCCCACACACTTTCAAATTTATTTGTGTTCAGCTTACTTTTGTGATATCGTTAACATGCTTGCCAATTTGCTTTGCTCACCAGTAGTCTTTCTCAAGCTGCACTATGCAAATGTCCTTCAAGTGGCAAGTGGCAGCAGCTTATAATGCAGCCATGTGTACAGGACATTTAGGTGCACACTCCAGGTCGTTCTAGTATCAAAGGATGCGTTATGACTTCGATCATTCCTGCGCATGTGATGAAATATTTTGAAGGAAAATTGGGCGTTTCAAAAAAGCATGACTAAACCGAGCATAAATAATGTTGTGTGACGGTCCCATCTTTGGTGTTTGATTAATAAATCGTCAGTGTTGTTCATCGTGCTTTCGCCTAACGGAATACGATTAACTACATTACCTCATCATCCGTTAGCCACGTAGTACTAAGTCGTTTCAAACGCACATTTGATTTCGAGTAAGTCTTCACGAGGGTGCCGGCACATTCGCGTATGTGTCGGCAACCATTTCTGCTAGGAACGACAATCAGAAAGTTATCAGTTTGTTCGAAAGCAATTCTGAACGGCCTGGCTCAGGGACAGGCGTTTTGCCAGGTGCTTTCGTCGAGCGGGGCAGAGCAGCGCAGCACCTTGCACATTGAGTGTCACGTCTGCGCGTGTAGTGTGTCTCTTTACCTGTCACTATCAGGCGCCCTCTGTCATCGAGTGGGTTGTAGCAAACGGCAAAGTGTGTCAGTCCATACAAGGAATTTTCTTTTAGAAGAAGGCTGTCGCCTTCCAGTACTGAGTGCTGCTTGAATTAAACCACCATACACTTTGCTTTAAGCTGTTTGAACAGTTTGAGATCATCGCCGCTGTGGTCCCGGGTTCGGGAAAACCACGTAGTGGAAGGGTTGTTTTAGGCCTGCTGGCTTTGCACGGTGGCCAGAAAATGTGTCCCACAATAAAGCCGGCGAGCAGCAGCTCGAAACCCTAACCACATCTCGTTAACCAGGCGTCGTATCGACAAGAAACCGACATCGTTTGACCAGCAACTGAACGGGGAATCCATTTGTGTGACGTCGTCGATCGCAGATGCCGCGAGTGAAGTGCAAAGAAGCGGGTAATGTGGACTTTCTCCTTATTCGCCCTTCTCACGTTTTGTGTCACAACCCGGCAGCCAGACCGGATGGAGGAGCGAATGTTATTTCAAGATGTCGATCAATGTACCATCCGCAATGCACGTGAACGACAGGAGTGTATGCTACGAACGGTTGCGCCAATAATCGCCGGACAAGCCAGAAATGTCGGCATGCCAAAAAACGGTGCCGAGTACATCCGGCTGTTGTGGAAGCCGTAGCCAGGGTTGTGCCAAAACTTGCATCACTGTATGCACACATAAATTTCTTGCATTTTTTATCCATTTATTCAGCATTCTGTGTACGATCTCGTCCAAATACCAACTTAATATCAAGTCCAAAATCCAATCCAAAAAATTATGCGTCGTCCAAATGTCAGAGGGTGGGCGCTCAGTAGCCGTCCTGTACGTGCCCAATACAGCTACCCAGCTTTAGTTCGTTCATGCGTTACGAGGAAGAGGTGAGCTACTGTGCTGGTGGAATGCATTCCTCGAACCCAGTGTTTGACATGCCAGAGAGACAGCACATGTCGAGTTTAAAGTTATTTGCAATGGGTGCGATGAGAAGGGGTCCAGGAAACACAGTCCAGTTTTTGGCGAAGCGCACTGTTCCGGCAAAACAGCACTTCCAATGCTGCTGAGTGCATTCACGAATCCACTCATCTGCATTCTGAATTGAATTTTTGGCAGGGTACATTTTTGAACCGACGTAGAATTACATGAAAATACCTCAAATGATGCCTTCGAATAACATTTTACTCCAGTGGGGCCCCTCATCACCTTTTTTTAAAGATTTTTTCCGAACCCTTTGAATGGATGGATTTCCGGGATCAGAGCTCACGCTAAGCAGTGCTTGTTGTGCGAGCCCTGACCCCTACCATCCGATCGCGCAATTCCATGTCAACGGCAGAATTTGGTGGCGAAAGCTTAACGTGCCGCAATGCTCGGCACGGTCCGTCCTGCCCTCTGACGTCAACTGACCTTTAGCGCGACCGCTGCCACCGGCCGCAGGCCATACCTGTCAAGGGCAAATAGCGGGCGCCCTAAAGCGACTCGAACCCACCCCGCAACGGGTGGGTGGGTCGGAAGGCAGGCGCTCTAACCAACTGAGCCACCTGGACGGACAAACCTTCGACCTTCGACGCATACCTGGTGCGAAATTCGTAAGCGCTATGACAGTGCAATCTCTCGTTCGAATTAACGCTTTTCCTATGGGCTATGATTCCTTCCTGAAACAGATCAAATAAATCCTTTCAAGCCGTTGCTGCAACAGTCGCCCCCAAGCCGCACACGGGCAAAAAGAGGGCAGGGGAAGGAGAGGGCGTCCATCAACCGATCTCCGGCGACAATATTGGGGGTGATTCATCTCATTTTCCTGCATGCCCGTGAAGTTGGCGATTTAATCAGCAAATTATTTAGCGAGGAGTTTCGATTCCTCTGAAAATACGTCAGATGGTCAATTATGACACGAGAACGTCGGAAATGACTTTTTTCTGCCATTTGGGAGATGGATGCGAATATTCTGCCGCTCGCGACGTTAAAATCGGCCGGTAAGTTTTTAGTGATATGGAATTCCCCTTCCCTTGACCTTGATTTCTGCCTTGAGGCTCACATGATATTGCAAGCATAAACGTCACTGTTGATGTTCCCGTATCACAATAACACGTTTGACGTGTTTTCAGAGAAATCAGAAATCACCTCTAAAAAAATCGCCGAAGAAATCGCCAGCTTCGCAAGCATTGCTGTTGCACGAAAAATTGGTTTCGAGATAAAGTTTTGCCTCCCATCACCCTATATTTCCCTCGAAGCCAACATATCACACCCAGTTCCCATCAGGCGCCTTCGCAGTCTGAGGTAGGATCGGTCAGGAAATGCCATGAACGATGTGAAATGCCTCCCGAAATAACGCAACCACAGACCATATGTAGAACACCACAAGTCTTCACATGCGTTTTTTTTTAAAGTCAACTCCGTCGCTTAGCGAAGCAAACCCGCAAGCACTTCTAACGACTGAAGTCTAAGTCCGATTGCGTTATTTACGGATGTTGTATGAAAACCCGGCATTTTTAAGGCAACTTTTTTCCTAACGTACCGGAATAGCACGCGCCTGGGTGGGCGGTTGAATACCCGTCACTAGGGTTCAATTTGACCCTTCCCTGAGATCTCCTACAATAAGAGAGCTAAAGACACGAAATGTGCGGGGTGGGTTGGTCTGTATGTGAGCTAACTTACGGCAAAACTTGGGGTCCCTAAGTCATCACTTTTGGGCCAGATAAAGTCAAATGAGGTCAACTTCAAGATGGTGTTCAAAGTGCGCATGCAACCTAATGCAACCTAATGCAACCACTACTAATGCAACCTAATGCATCCTAACGCAACCACTGCTAATGCAACCTAATGCAACCTAGTACAACCGCTTTAAACCTAAACATTTGTTTTAGCAAAAGTTCACTGCTGTTCACTTGAGTGCACTGACCTTGCCGTACGTTTAGAAGGTTATGATGACAAAACCTACGAGATTATTGATTATTTAATTTGAATGAGCTTTAACACTCGCTCGGGTGGGGGTGAAATTGACCCCTCCAAAGGTTTTTCCAGAATGGTTTCCGAACGACGCGGCGTGGCCACGCCAAATTTTGCATAGCTATAGAAAATTGAAAAGTGGGTCGTTTGGTATGAAACAAATTAGATGAACCGTGTAAGGTATACCGACCTATATCAGGTCAAAGTCAGGCCATGGTTTCAGTGAAGGCAATTTCTGGGGAATCGCTCAATCTGTTGCAATGGCGGAGTTTAAGACCAAGCCATACATCTCTGAGATGCTTTCCTAGGCAACTCAAACATTGAATGAGCAAATCACGTCGACCGAAGGTCAGGTATGAAGGTCAGACCAGTGTCAAAACCAACGTGCTCTGTTTCTTTAAGGCTTGCTGTGTGGGATAGTTTCTGGTGCGCATTTCCAATTTATTGACAGCACGACCACATCATACATCTGTCATGAACTTCCTAGGGGTCAAAATAGGTCATTGATCTAAGATGACCCAGGCCGACATTTTGTTTTAGGAACATACCCCCTAGCGTAATCTTTGTCGCTTATTCAAATGCAAAACTCAGAGCAGCCTTGTATGATTTTGGTCACCACGACCTTCAAAATGTCACACAAAGTTACTGACCTTAAATGAGCATGTGACCTTTTGCTTAGAAACAATGATCTAGACCCTGGGGCACTTTGGAGACCAGCCCGGAATTTGACCTTGTTTGACTTTATTTTACCTGAAGTTCATGACCTAGGAACCTCAAGCTTTGACCTAAGTGAGCTGACGTACAGGGCAACACACCCTGTAAATTTGGTGTCTCTAGCTTTCTTGGTACCCGAAATCTCAACGGGGCCAAATTGACACCCAACCGAGCGAAGGGTATCCAG